CCAGCTCATTCGGGAGTTTCCAGTTGGACGTTTGACGTACTTGCAAATTGGAACCTGTAATTTGTTATTTCGAAATAAGTTAATTTATAGGTGACGCCATAACAGGCTGAGACCTGTGGTTTGTATGAAAATATCAAGAATTAACAGGAGGCAAAAAGTAAAAACAAACAACAGAACAAGAAAACAAGAAGGAATTTGAAATAATAAGACTAAAATAAATAAATACATAAATCTTAATAACTCAGGGTTATAATTAAATATTTATAAAATATTTTATAAAAACAAGGATCTATAAATAAATCTGACTCATTAAACAAATATTCATGAAATATAATTTTCTAAGACCTGCAGTCGCTATTATATACAAAATATCATATTCTTGGGCAAAGATAAGAATTAATAGTTCTTTTACATCCAAAATTAAGATAACACAGTTAAACTTTCTTCACAAATAAGAATGGACAAAAGACCAAGTGAAAAAATGCATATATACATACACACGTTTGTGTTTGCCTACATCTGGTGGGAAAAATGTCGGCAGTTTTCAAGTAATTTCTTTGTTGTTTCCATTTTAGATAAATCCTTGTATTCCCATACTTCGATTATTAACGATTCCTTCTGGCCACCAAAATGTTGAGAGCAAAACCCAATCATCAGCATATCAGGTTATCAGCTGATAAGCATTGGTTTATCAGAGGGATAGAATTTCTATAAATTCAAAACAGAAAGGGTCCGAGAACAGATCCCTGTGGAACTCCGGCTGCTACTTTGCACAGTTAGGAAAGAGAAAGACATTGATCTCATTAATTATGTACGGAGGAAAATTCTATTCAAGCATTCATAAAATTAGCCCATTTTGCCATAATGTCGAATGCTTTCTCGATATTTGAAATTTGTATGCAAGTGAGATGCGGTCTTAAGGTATAAATTATCTTTTCATGTGAATTAGACACATAATGGAATCAAAGAATCTTAATCAATAAATGCCTGCGTTTTAAGAAAATGAGTACAAAGAAAGATATTCATTCATTAACCAAATATCCAGGAAAAATTGTTTTACAAGAACTTTACTTTTTTACCACGCTGCCAAAATATAGTGATATAAATCTATGTCCAAGGTCTGTACTTGTATAATTTAATTCGTTAAAATATATATTCAATAACTTCTTTTGACAAGATTGGAATCCATAAACCAATAAACAAATTTGACTCATTAATTAATATTAACGATAACTGTAGTTCTTGACTCACTACCAATCACTACCAAAAATTGATATAAGGCCATTTCCAAGGTCTGTAGTTTTTGATTAAATTTAAAACTTACTTAAACTGTATGAATTGTACATATTCAATAATTACCTTTGACAAGGTATGAAACCCATTAAACTTCAGATTTTTAATTAAATGTTTTTAAATAAAAATAAGAGCTATAAATTAATTTTATTATTTCTAATTTATTACAATTTACAAAACTACAATATATAATTGTATAGAGTGACTTTGGTTGCATTACCATTTTTCATAACACATAATTTACTTTATAAGCTGCTGATTTTTTTAATTTTCTCATCGCATGTTAAATAGGTAAATTTCTACCTTCTTTCTTTACTATATTTTGGAACATAATTACTTTTTAAATAAAAAATAGGTTGTCCCAAATTTAAGATTTTCTCTAATTTGCACCAATCTTTTTGGTCGTTGGAAATTGATCAATTCTACAAAAATCTATTTTCTTTGTGGCTTTTAAATTTTAGAGTGGATAATCATAAGTCATCAAATCCTCCTGATTTTTTTTATACATTGGGTTATATTTGGGTCTTCAAAATAATTCACTTTTAGAGGATGAGCTTGTACAGCTTGGGAAACCTTTTATTTACTTATCTGTCTCCATCTTTAAAGTTTAGAATTTCAAAAAGAAGATTGAGATTAATGTACTAAAGTTCAAAGTTCATGTCAAGTAAATAAACAATCACAGTCTTAATAATGGATTTTTCATTGATTCAATGTTGTTTTCAAAATTTACACATCTTCTTGCCAATTACTTTGATCCACAATATGGCCATCATACAAATAATTGCACCAGTTTTCTAGTATTTTCAAATCTTCTCGTTATTGACAGCACATATTTGGCAGGTTATCGCTTCTCGTTGAAAATTCATTCACCAGTTAAAGGTTATTTTAAATATTTGGACGTTTAGTGGCTCCTCCTATCTCGAGCCTTCAGAGGTCTTTTTAGGCAATGGCAAGAGCTTATAAAACCTGATTCGAGTTTTTTTCCAAAGCTTCAAAATATGGAAGAATACAGACTAAAAGAAGCGACAATAAATAAATTTGACTTCTTAACCAAATATTCACAAAAGAGCAGATTATTAAAGGGTTCTTTATTATTTTTACTATGGACCAAAAAATTAGACTTCATTTCAAATATTCTCATAAGACCATTTTCAAGAACTGATGTTTCATTATTAAAACTTAAATACTTTAAATTTATATAAATCGTATGAATTCTCTTTTCCGAATTTTGATCAGTTAAAAAAATCCATAAATGTTCAGGATATGGTTTTTAATTAAAGATTTTTTTAAATTATGAACCAAAACATTTCACCCAATACCAAATATTTATAGTTGAAAATTTTCAAGAACAGACTTTTTTTAAATTAAATTGTAAATATTATTTCATTTTTTAATTAATCGAATTCTTGTCTCACAAACTGCGACGCTCTGAAAATCAGATTCTTCGTGTTGTTATTAATTTAATATTACAATAAGTACATTTTCGAAAATTATGCACAATAAAAATTGGACTCCACTACCAAACAACCACAAAAGTCTCTTCCAGTTTTTAATAAATTCGAAAAATTTAAATGGATAAATTCGTATGGATTTTTTTGTTGAAAATTTATTAATTAAGTAAGAAGCTAAGAATAATTAATGGTCACAAAACTCCTATTTCTAAGAATTGCAGTTTTTTAAAACTCAAATTTCCAATATTAAAAACTTAGGCAATAGTTCAGGTTAGTATTGTTAATAAAATGTTATAATAACTTCTCAGTTGAAATAGTAAACCAAAAAAATGTGACTCCTCTACCGAATATTCACAAGAGTTACAGCTTTTAATAAATAAATAAAAAATTAACTTAATAAAAATCGTTTTAATTTTCTTTTGATAATTTTGAAATCCTTGAACATTGAGCTATTAATTGTTGTCATTTAAATAGCAAATTAACGACAATAACAAAACTTGGTCACAAAAGTCCTGCAGTACTTGGAAATAACAAATACGTACTGAAAATTTATATAAATGGTCAGGACATTAGTATTAATAAAATATTAAAACAACTACGCTATTGAAACTGTATACTAGAATTTTCTTTGGATAATTTTTAAATCCTTAAACCTTAATAGCAAAGGATGTTGTTATTAATTAAATAGGAAATTAAGGACAATAAAAAAAGATCATAAAAGACCTTCAAGATTACTAATAACTGCAGTTTAAAAAAATCAAATTTCAAATATAAAAACTTACGTAATAATTCAGGACATTTTATTAATTGATAAAATATTATTATAACTACTTTGTTAAAACAAAAAAATTAAACCAAAAAATCTGTGTCCACTAGTAAAAATTCTTAAATGTCCATTTCCAAATTTCACAGTTTTAAATTTAATATGAAATATTAAGTGTAAAATTATAATTTTATTATTATATGCTAATAAATGTTATCAAGATCGTGGGTGAAGTGATTAATTTTATACGTTGGTTTTCCTGATCTTTCAAATATTTAATTTGTTTCGCATAAATCTTCAATATCTACAGATTGGTTAGTTAAAAGGAACAACGGTTTTTGCAGAAATCTACTAATTTTATTAGTAAGTTAGTCTTTAGGAGCTTTCACCCCAAAATGACATGAAAAATATTTAAAATAATTACGATTCGAGACGGTTTATCCCAAAAGCCCGGGCATAGCTGATCTTTCAGCATACTAAACAGCATAAGGACAAAAGCAAAACGTACTTTATTACGGTCCTGGGCATTTGGCGAGCATATGGTAGCTTTAGATCGTCTACCCGAATCAAAGAATTTCAAATCAGCCCATAAATATTTTCGAGCCTTTTGTTAGAAATGGATCGCCGTCCCATCGAGGGGGGACTTCGTCGCGTGATGAAAAAACTGCATACGAGATAGCCAGATACTTCAGCAAGCTGCAGGGGCTCGGGATTGAAGGTTTTGACAAATAATTTACATTTTTTGTCACGGTCGGTTTTTTATTATTACAATTCAATTTAAACATTTTCCTGACCGAGACCCTTCAAAGGAAATACTGTGCCAACTCTCCCGCCTGCAATATGAACATGGAAGCCGGTCTTTATGAATACCTCGTGCTGTAATGAGGAGGATTAGCAAATTTCTCGCGAGCTTAGTGCCCTTTACCAAGTGAAGTTCAAAGGGTTGCGGATCTATATGCTTTGGTCCCCTTGGTGCAGCAAGCCTGTTAATTTTTTCCGCCCAATTAACTTCGATTAAAAAACAATCAAAAACTGAATATGGGATATTTCATTGAAGTTCCAACCTAAACTAAGCGTTCGTGGAACCTGTGATTTATCGAAGTTAAAACTCGTAAGAATAGTGACAATTTTTGTTGGTAGTAATCGATGTTGTTTCTGAGTATTCATATTTTCATATTAATTCTCATAAATTACAAAGTTAAATGAATTTATAGTATTTTTAAATAAATTTTAACGATTTGGGGCATCGTATTTCTTTCTCCCTTTGAGGTTCTGAGTTCGACTCCCTCATCGTATTTTGGCGAAAGAAGGACATATGTAGAGGTAGTATTTGACATTTTGTCCAGTTAAGCAACTAAAAATATAAATTATTTATTTCTTATTTTGCCTAGTAAGACAGAAAATAGTACTCTACATTTATTCTAACGTTCTCTCTTAGTTTTTAGTTTTTAAACATTGATTTTCTGAACTAATTATTAAATTTGATCGAATAGGACGATGGGCAGAAAAGGAAGCGGGTGAACCTTACAGAAAGGAGGAAAGAAGTTTAAAAACAAAATTCAAATTATTAACGAATTCATTCCATATGCAATTCTTGTAAGGTAAGAATAAATTTTAGATTTTTATTTTTAGTACTTGTGTTTTAAAATATATTAGACCTTATTTTGCGTTTCATCTTCCATAATCAAATATTATCTACCAGATTGTTTATTTGTAATTTTTTGTTTTATTGGAAACCGTAAAAGGTTCGTAATATATTTCCTAGAATGAATTATTTTTTCTTTATAAGTTTAAAATCTCTTGCTTCTTCCCACCCCATCATATATTCAGCGTACTTTTTTTGCAACTACTCTTGTGTTTATAAAGCCTCATTTTCCGTGTTCTTTTTTTCTCCATATGAGTCCAATGCATATTTTTAAATCCTTCAACTTCGTTTTATAATTAATTCGTATTAAATTGCCATAAATACTTTAAATCCTTAATAAATATTTACTTAGCCTTAGTTTTACCTTATGTTTTTAATAAGGATTGTACGTTTAATAAGGAAGTAAGTTGGGCCTAACCATTTTTAAGCTTTTAAAAAGTATTTAATGTTATTATGCGACATTTATTGGGTTTATGGTGAAACTTAAACACTGCTGATTTTTGATACATCAACACATTTTAATCTTTTTAAAAAGATAGTTCCTACTCACAGTTAGTACGAACTGTTAGATGCTAGTTGGTTAGTTACTAACTGTGAGAAGAAACAATCTTTTCATAAAGAGTGATCAACAGTCAATCCTCCATTTATCATTTCTATCATCACGTTTTTTTTTTGTAAATTAAATATTAATCTCCCTCCCTGTCTATCACATGCTATAGCTCTCGCTAAAACACACACGCACACATACACACTCCGTATGTCACTCACCCTCTTGCTCTGTCGTTCCCTCTACATTCTTCTCTACTATTCTGTCATTGGGTCTCTTTCGTATCTGAAGCTCTCTCCCTTTTTTGCTTATCTGTCTGGCTCTCTCAATTCTCTCTCTCTCTCTCTCTCTCTCTCTCTCTCTCTCTCTCTCTTTCTCTCTCTCTCTCTCTCTCTTTCTCTTTCTCTTTTTCTTTCTCTCTTTATTTCTTTCTCTCTCTCTCTCTCTTTCTCTCTCTCTCCCCCTCTAAAATACACACCTTACGTCTTCTTTCAAGTTCCCCCACTTTCTTCATTCTCTTTTTTATTTTGGCTACCTCTATCTGTCTCTCACAATCTTTTTTATCACTCTCTCTCTCCCCTCCCCCCAAAAAAACACCGTCAGTTTTTCAGGTTCCCCCCACTTTCTTCTTCACTCTTTCCTATTCTTTTTTTATTTTGCTTACCTTTCTGTCTATTATAATTTTTTTTCTCACTTTCTCCCCTCTCTCCCTCCCACTTCCCGTCCCCCCTTGCCCTCTGTGTATTTGATATGTCTATTTCTCTGTCGTTACTACCTCCCCCTCCCTCCCTTCCTTTATTCCTCTATTTTTCTCACCATTGCTATAAATATTTCATATTAGGCTTCATCACTTATTGTCCTTTCGATGTAAAATTATAGTGTTGGTGGTTGATAACAAACTACATCTGAGTTCTTATTGCGAACTCATATCTTTCTTTATTTTTACATTCCTCCATCCACCACCCATTTCACACTCTCACTCACTTCATTCCTATATTCTCTCTTTACGTCGCTATTACCAGTGGAACAAGGAAGGACATCAATTCCGTCCCTTTAGTTTAATGATTAAAATTTTTATTAATATTTGTTGGAATCTTGTGCTATTTTTTCTCGTTTCTTTCCTTGGTTTCTCTGTTAGGTGGATTCTTCCAAGTGGTCGGACTGAGGAAGGAGCCGCCGAGACCTCCTCCTTTAGACCTTTCCCATTTGTCGGACGGTTCTCGTCGGTGGAATAGCTCATAGCCAAACCCATAGGCGTCATTTGCGCAAGTCGGGCGTTCACTTTGGCCCCCTTCCCGAGCCGTCCGGCGCAAAATTGCACCCCCCACCGGGCGCCAGGGACAGGGAGCGAAATTAAAAACCGGTGCCCCATTTGACTCCGGCGGGGCCAACTTTAGTACCCGCTGAACGTTTCCCCCCTTCACCAAGAGAACTGCCCACATTATTCAGGATTTGGGGGGAGAATGTTGCCGAAGGGGGGCGGACGTCGGTGAAGGGGGGAGAAAGTTGGTGAAGGGGGATCGCCCCACCGCCGCGCATCGCGCCCCTTCCCCACGGATTCTCACGCCAAATGGTTTTCTTTCCACTCAGTGGTGCGTTGAACCCTCGTGAGTGTGTCTCGTCCCAAGCTCTCTGGATTTTTTTTTCGAACTTTTCATTTTTTGTTTTGGTAAGTCCCTCTTGTCTTCCCTAGATTCTCGTTTTACAAGCTCATACTTGAAAAACTTGTGGATCTTCTCGAAACTTTTTTCTTTTCTAAATCCTTGTCTCGATAGCACTTTGCCCCAAATCGTCCCCCTCTTCTGTGCCGTCCCCTCTTTCTTCCTTCGATTTCACTACTCCCTCTTTAAATTGCACGCTTCTCACTCCAGCGTTACGAGTTCTATAAATAAATCCACGGCGACCATTGCCATTAAAAAAAAAACTTTCGTCATTGGTAGACGGATCGAAAAAGTCGTGAGGCATGCTAGTCGATCCTTCCGGCACGCAGCACGCTTTCTCCCTTAATCATTGCTTATACTGTCATAAACAAATCGATTTTACAAATTTCCTCCGGTTTATGTTTATTTTTTAGTGAAAATCGCCTTGGTCGTGATCGCTAAATTTATATTATGGTAGAACAAATTAATACCATTTTTATAGGGATCACCAAAAGCCAAAATATAAACAGCAAAAAACTTTTTTAGGGATAGTTAGTGAAACATTTTTTTATAATAGTAATGTTTTATTTACAATACCAAGCATGTTGGGAATTGCTTACTCTTGACAATTTATATTAAATAAGCACAACATAAAGCTCAGTTTTGCACAAAACAAAATCGAATGAGTGCTTTTATTTGTAAGAAAGGAAGGGTAGGATTACTGTTCATAAAAAATTAATATATAAATGAAATAAGTGTTTTAATGACATAAAAATATTTAAGACGAATTTATCTTTTTTAGTCGTGTTTGCTTTAAAAAACAATTCCATCTGGTTTTAAACGAAAGTAAATTTATTACTTATTTAAACATTTTTTTTAAACCACATGGAATTGGTTTTTAAACCAAAAAATAAATAAAACAATATTTCACAGACAAAATCCACACAGGATTTAATTTTTTTTGGAGGTTATCCATCCAAAGATATGGATAAATTCCATAAAATATCGAAACCTGAATTAATTTTCTTTGTGTATTATTGCAACCAAGCAATATCAAATAAAAATTACAACTTTTCAGATTTTTCAATTATTTATTTGTAGCTTGTATGCTAATTTCAGAAGAATTTTTTTTAAATACAATTTACATTTTATGGGACATTTTGGCATGTTATTTGTGCATAAAGAACTGTATTTTCTGAGATTAACTAGTCAGATTATTTACAATGGTAAATAAGAACGAAAGCAATAATAATATCGTAGTTTTTCATGTTTCTGTTTTGGTTTTATGTTTCGTGGCAATGTATTATATGTTTGCATACAACATACAAACGTTATTCGTCAAAAAAATGAAGGAATAAATGATATTACGTGCAGGAAAGGAAGGTTAAAAAAACTACATTCATAAAAAAATAATACACAAAATACTCTCAGGTTTTAATATTTTATGGAGTTTATCAGACAAAGATATTGGTAACAACATAAAATATTGAAACCTGGGGTTTATTTGTGTAATAATGCAACCGAACAACAGCCACTAACATTTTAGATTTTTTAAATTTATTTGTATCTTTAGACCAATTTCAGAAGTATATTTTAGTATATAAAATTTACATTTTTGTGGGACGTTTTGGCATCTCTTTTGCGCCATAGTCATGAAGAAAACTTTATTTTCTGAGTTTATCCGGTGAAATTGTTCATAATGGAAAATTTTAATGTTTTTGATACGTTTTTATGTTTCGTGTTTGAATGCAACGTATAAGCGATATTTTGAAGTAAAAAAATGATTGTATGAATACTATTTGAAGGATTCAAAAACTATGTTGATAAAATACAAACTAATTATCATTTTAATATAAGGATGTACTTATTTTAATGTATTTATTTGTCGTTTAGATGCCAATAGGAAAGAGAAAAAAAAATTATACCTTTTTTTCCTGATTTGATGTTTTTATTTAACTTTTTTAATACAAACACATTTTTTAAAATATTTATTTGAAGTTATAAGCCAATTTCAGAACAAATTTTCTGTTTGTAATTAATTGTAATTTACATTAGTGACATTGTCATGTAGAAGTTAATTTTGTGATATTATCCACTGGTATTAATGATAATGAAAAATTAGAAAGAGAAGAAGAATAATTCCATATTTTTTATAATGTTCTCTTAGGTTTTTACTTTTCGTGGCAATTTATGTTTGATTGTTATTGTTTGATTAGGTTATTATGTTTAATCACAACGTATAATATAATCAATATGTTGCAAAAATGAATGAATGCATTTAAGGACAGGAAAATTACCTTGATTAAAAAATTTCCTAAACGCAGTGACAACTTTTTATTTATTTTTTAATATTTATTTGTGCTTTGTTTTTAATATAATTTACGTTTGGGGGTGTTTTTTTTCTGATGTAGTAATGCAAAGGTTTATTTTCTGAGGTTATCCAATCAGATTAGGCATAAATAAGGAGGAAAATAAGAAAAAGAAAACTAATACATACCATATTTTTTATGTTTCGTGGCAATTATTAATATGTTTGAACACTACATATAAGTGCATATTTTGCATACAAAAAAATCAATGGATAATTGCTATATTTCAGGAAGGATTGAAAAACTACCTTGATAAAAAAATAACAATAATAATAAACAAACAAAATTACAACATTAAAAAATGTACATACAAATTTTTCTAGTTGTTATGGTAATTTCATATATATATTTTTTTAAAGTTCATTTTTTGAGATTATCCAGTTAGATTATTCATAATAGA